AAAAGATAACTCAAAGTCTATTTCACTTAATAATAACTTGACCGTTTTATATCTTGAATTAAACAGTCATCTCTTTGCTAATTCTATCGTACATAATGTAATTCTAGTATTTCTAGTGCTTCGTTGAAAAACAATCTGAAAACTTACAAAACATAAGTAAGAGACATACCGACTAATAAACTTACTAACTTACTCGTGAATACACCAATGTAAAAAATCTCACTAATGAATCAGTAATCTACTCAAAATTGCATTCTAATCGTTTTCTACACTTTCTAGAAAATTATAGTTATTAAGACACGCGTTTAACACCTGACGTTAAAAACTCCCTTTGCAAAAAACAATACTATAAATTAAAAGGAAAAAACAAAACAAACAAAGCCAACAACAATAATCTCAGTGTTAGCTTTTGTGCTCAGTCATTAAATCTAAAGTGACAGTTCGTGCTTCACCAGCTCCTACATTTTGCTCAGGAGATAAAACGATGAAGTTCGAGCACCTTTCATGAATCACCAATAAAATCAGGCAGTTTTTAAAAGAGTCTACCTATTCTACGAGTGTGTGTGTGTTAGAGTTTTGTTTTTCGCGACAGAAGATTAAGTTGAAAGAATAAAGCAGAGTTTACAGATTTTCTCGCTTTTATGACTAAAACCATTTTGCACTTATTTTTAACTTGAGTTTTCACTTTTGGTTGTTTCTTGTGCATTATTGAAAAATATAGGGCTAGTATGTAGCCAATTTAAATGAATACATTTCTTTCACGGGTTGTATTTTACTGAAAAACTATATCCCATATAAAAACGGATATTCTAACAAACTACTGTGAAGAATAATAGATAATTCTGGAAGACTTAAAAAAATGTTATTCTATTTTGTTTTTTTTGTATATATGTCTCATGTATAGTTCTTTGTATACTGACTTTTCCCCGCCCCCTGGCCCCGGAATGGCCAAGTGGTTAGGGCGGTCGACTAGGAATCTGCGTGTCTCGGGTTCGAAACCCAATCGCACCAAACATGCTCATCCTTTCAGCCGTCGGGGCGTTATAAAGTGACGGGCAATTCCACTATTCGTTGGTAAAAGAGTAGTCCAAGAGTTGGCGGTGGGTGGTGGTCTTACACTGCTAAATTAGTGACGGCTTGCGCAGATAGCCCTTGTGTAGCTTTGCGCGAAACTCATAACAAACAAATAAATTCTCCCCCCCCCCTCAAGTGACTCAGCGATGGGCAGAGTATAAACAACCAATTGTGTTTAATAACAAACAAGTAAAGTATACCGGTTTATGATTAATAGTAATTCTAAGTTAGGGGATCATTACGTATGGAAAATGTAGTGGGTTCATTTGTTATAAAAACAGGTAAAGATCTATAAATCAATATACCGTGAAAGTTTTCCTGTTCGTATTTAATACAACAGAATTATGAATATGTTTGTTTAATATTTTCCACGAAAGACTAATCTTTGAAGCTCCTGAATGATAGACTCTGTTCGGGTATTTGAAGTAAAACAAAAACAACCTAGATTTGTAAATTTTATTATCAATAGATAAATACGCTAGACAAAAGATAAACGCATCAGAAAGAATTGTCGCTTGTGCTTTAAGAGTTTTTATCAGGGTGCTGTCAGTTTCGCCACTGGTCTAAGTACACAAACACGTAGCTACAAGCCTGTATGTAATCACAAGAAGCTTTGAGTCGTCAATGACTGGCACATGCTGTTGTCACGTGCATTTTCTTCCCTCTCTGAAGAAAGACTGTCCGTGGCTATGGTTTATTGGATTGAAAAGCTTCTGCTTGTGACGCAGATAAAATTGATTTCCTTCAATCCTTCGACAGAAATGGTTAAATTGCCAACGGCAACATAATGTAACATATGAAAAGTTGTTTTTATTTTTGGGGGACTAACGGTTGGTCCAACTGCTGGCTTAGACTGTCCTTGTCAAAGGTAAATCCACAAATGCCAAAGCTTACATTAGCACAGCTGATTTATCCAAAAAACAGGTCGATTTCAGACGACTAAGTTGAGGCACAGCTTTGAGTTTTTTTTATCCAAAAATGTGAAAACATGTTTGTACAAGACGTTGAGAAAAAAAAAACAACAAACAAACTTGTTTTATGAACTACTACAGACTTTTTTTGCAGAAAGGTAGCACAACCGTGTAGGACAGTTTTATCTTACAAAGTTGTCCAAGAATTAACTGGTTCATTTCGTTGTGGTTCCATAACCGACCAACATTTAAAATTTAAAACACTGCTTACTAATAATAAATTTCTGTTCGTAATTTGAAGATCTGCAAGAAAAAGTATAAGTTGTTGTTGTTAATCGCAAAGCTACACAAAGGGCTATCTGTGCTGTGCCCACCAGGAGGTATCGAAATCCTGTTTCTAGTAGTATATGTCCGCAGAAATACCATTGTGCCACTGGGCTGGGGGGGGAGGCAAAGTATAAGATTTATAAAACAACGATTTCCAAAACTAATATGATAAGAAAATTGTTTTAATTTCATTGTTAGATTAAATGAAATATGTTGTTGTTTTTTTTTAATTTCGCACAAAGCTACACGAGGGCTATCTGCGCTAACCGTCCCTAAGTCAGCAGTGTAAGACTAGAGGGAAGGCAGCTAGTCATCACCACCCACCGCCAACTCTTGGGCTACTCTTTTACCCACGAATAGTGGGATTGACCGTCACATTATAACGCCCCCACGGCTGAAAGGGCGAGCATGTTTGGTGGGAACCAAATGATTAGGCCAGATATTCCAAGGTTCAGGCAAAGCCGTTCCTAATTCAGAAATAATGACCAGAGAGAGAGGGCAAGCAGTTAACGTCACCCGTCATCCACGCGACTTCTCTTAACCGAATAGTAGAACTGACTGCACAGTTGTAACACAGCTGAAAGCGCGAAACGTGTGTTTAGCAACCTGGTACCTTTCTGATAAGCACTGTTGCCTGGTTGCTTATCCACAACGCTGGAAATTAGTTAGTATTTGTTCACTTTTATCAGATTATCTAATTCGACAATTCTGTTCTTGTTAATGTTAAATTTGAGACTCTCTTATGTTTTTCTAACGTAATTCACCCAATTTTTTTAATATTTAATCCCCAATACCCATTCAAGTTGGTTTGTTTGTAATTAAGCACGAAGTCTTACAATGGGCTATCTGTACTCTGCCCACCACGGGTTTATAAACCTAGTTTCTAGGGTTGTAATTTCATAGACATG